AAAAAAAAAAAACCAAAAAAAAAGAAAAAAAAGAGTACACAAAACTTGGGGGGGAAATGTTTTATGTCGCATGTGGGGGTTGTCCTGGTGTCAAGTTTGATTTTTGGTCAACTAAATGATGAGGACACAACTGTTCCCCATTCCTTTCAAGTGCTAACCAGGGGTGTAGAGTCCATTGTCAAAATTTGTGCAGTAACTGGTAAACGATTCCCATGGGTGTTCCCACTGAACTCCTATATTGGATGGTTCAGGTTTTTTAAAGGTTTACCTAAGGAAAGAAAATCCCTAAAATGGCCTAGGGGGAGGGCAATGGGAAGGGAGGCAAAGCCTAGTTTTATTTGTGTTTTAGACTGAAGATTCTATTTAATGACTGGTTAAAAAGAAAAAGTGAGGTAAAACCAAAGCTTGAGCCCTGCTTGGTTACAGCTCAGTGGCTGAGCGTCAACCCATGAACCAGGGAGGTCCCGGTTCAATTCCTGGTCAGGGCACATGCCCAGGTTGTGGATCAATGATTCTCTCTCATCATTGATGTTTCTTTCTTTCCTTTTTAGAATATATTTTTATTGATTTCAAAGAGGAAGGGAGAGGGAGAGAGAGATAGAAACATCAATGATGAGAGAGAATCATTGATTGGCACACCCCACACTGGAGATTGAGCCCCCAACTCGGGCATTTGCCCTTGACTGGAATCGAACCCGGGACTCTTCAGTCCACAGGCCGACACTCTACCCACTGATTCAAACCAGCTAGGGCTGAAAGTGATTTCTGAAACTATCAGGTCTACACAACTGTTAACTAGTAATGCTATGTTCACTCTGAAATCCCAATTTTGTGGGCTAGCATATGGAATTTTATTTCTTTCAATTTCAGTTTCAAATACATATAGTAGTTAAAAAGAAACTTAGAATATAATCTCTTCATTCAGAAGAATGAGAATGCTGTCTAGAAACTTTATATGATAGCATATTTCAAAAGATTATCCATCTTAATAACAAGGATTCTATTAAGGCTGAAAAAAAAAATTTCTTTGCAATAGGCTATTCTATTCCATTAAGAAAAAATAACTCATGGAGAAACAAATGAAAAGTTAGTGAAAAAGCCCGAGCTGGGTAGCTCAGTTGGTTAGAGCATCATACCGAAACAACAAGGCTGCAGGTTCGATCCCTGGTCAGGGCACACATATAAGAATCAACCAATGAATGCATAAATAAGTGAGACAACAAATATCTCTCTCTCTTTCTTTCTACCCCCTTTTTCTTTCTCTCTAAAATCAATAAATAAAAATTATAAGAAAAGTTAGTGAAAAAAGTAGTGAAAGTTGGTATGTACATTCCTAACAACTTAAAAGATTTTAAAAATTGTATAGAAGAAAAACATCTGCTAAAGATAAAATTGTGACATGAAGAAAGTACTTCTACACAGAATATCACAAGATACTTACAGCTGATAAGGCCAAAATCTGTTGTTGAATTGTTTCTTCATCATTACTATCAACCCATGGGGGCACTGCTGCTTCTGAAAGGTTTTTAACAGCCAAAAAGAAAAGGAAAAAAACAAACAAACAGGTTACAAGAGTTACTCTGCAATCGTGGTTTGAAAAAATGAGTAAGTTTCCATACAACCATTTTAGCAAATTACTGAGTTCCAAATATGACCATTCATCATAATTTCCAAACTTCTTTTTTTTGTTTGTTAATCCTCACCTGAGGATATTTTCCCATTGATTTTTAGAGAGAGTGGGAGGGAGTGGGAGAGACAGAGAGAAACATTGATGTGAGAGAAAAACATCGACTGGATGCCTCCTGCATGCACCCCGACGAGGGCTGGGGAAGCTGCAACTGAGATATATGCCGTTGATCAGAATCGAACCCGGAACCCTTCCAGTCCGAGGGCTGATGCTCTATCTACTGAGCCAAACCGGCTAGGGCATAATTCCCAGACTTAATGCATAAATCTTATGCATGTATATATTTGGTAAAAAAAAATTACTTGAATTATACAATGAAGAAATTGGGCAACACCTTGACCAGGTGACCAAAATCAACATCACCATCGACAGGGACATGGCCATTGTGGGTCTCCAAATGTGATACCTTGAGAAAGACACATTATCTATGCAGTATTCTGGCCAAAAATGCATAATCTGCATCTAATTATAATCTAGTCACAAGGAAATATCATACAAAACTCAAATGAGAAATGGTCTATTTAATAATAAGAAAAGAGGGGTATTCTTCAAAACCACTAATGTCATAAAAGAGAAAGAAAGGCTGTGGAAATGTTCCAGATTAAGGGAGACTAAGAGATGTGACAAAAAATGCAATCCCTGGACTGGATGCTATGTTGAGGGGGAAAATGTATAAAGGATTTTACTGGGTCAATGACAAAATTTGAATGTGAGTATTATATCAATGTTAAATTTCCTAAAGCTGGAAAACTAACAATCTGGGTAGAAGGTATACGGGTATTTTCTGTATTAGTTTTATTGTTGCAACTTTTCTGTATATTGAGATTATTTCCAAATATCTGGCATGTAATAAGTGCTCAATAAAATTTGGCAGGTAAGTAAGTCGCGTACAACAAACCTATACTATACCTGATTTTTTGGTATGCTGCTCCTCAACAAATTTTTTCTGTTCCTTCTGAAAATCTCCTATAATGGTCTGTTAAAAAATACATAAAGAGTCAAATTACCTTGAAAATTTTATTATTAGGAAAGAACTACATTCAAGATTTGTGAAGTCTATTTGAGATATTTTATTTATTTTCTTCAAATGAAAATGCTAAAAAAGTGATAGTTCACCCTATCTATAAGAAGGAATTGTCAACATTTTTGAATTTCAAGTATATTACCTCATTTTATGATAAATTATCTTTTCAAATGCAAAAATGAGTTAAAAACTGAACTTTTGTATTATTCAAAAAAATAAGATAGGTCAAATCATTCTAACAAATAGTACATACAACAAAAGTATCTAAATAACAAGCTATCTAGAGTTTAACTGATGACCTCCTCAGTTCAAATAATTACCAACATAAATAAAATTCACCACTGTAAAAAATGAACAAACTCAACCCATTAGAGTCTTAAAAGGATTGTCACTAATGGGTTAAGACTCTAAAAAATTAACCAAATGATGAAAAGCATAAATATATTCTGAAGTGTTATAGTTGAAAATTAAACTCATAATATGAAAAGTTTAGTATTACTCAAAAGTATCAACATACCTTAGACAACATAAAAACCAAGGTTACTTAAATCACATCATTTATATCATTGTTACATAAAAAGAGAAAAAATCCAAGAATCTCAACTATTAATATTTTTATCAGAATATGATATCCTAGACTGGCCGGTGTGGCTCAGTGGTTGAATATTGACTCATGCACCAAGAGGTCGCTAGTTTGATCCCTAGTCAGGGCACAGGCCCAAGTTGTAGGCTCGATCCCCAATAGGGGGCATGCAGGAGGCAGCCGGCAGTATTTCTCTCATTGATGTTCTATCTCTAAAATCAATAAAAACATATTTTTTAAAAAGAATATGATATCCTACTTAGGTTAATAAAATTCATAAGAAAAAGGGACGATATTAATTAATGCATTTCATAAATTTCTACTATCAAAGATATTTAAATGTACCTTATCGATGATGTCATCTATTTTTCCTTCTTCTACTGATTTCTTTATCGATTGTGCTGTTTCAGCAACTGATTCAGTTATCTTTTTTGTAGCAGCAGTCGCAAAGTTAAATAGATAACCTATAAAGAATAAAAAAAGAGTCTATGCTCCATTCCAGTACAATGGGTATTGTATTTATAATTTCTCCCTTAAAGAGTTCTTGTAAGAATCTTAAGCCATAGGGCATGTTCCTTGTTAATTAGGACTGGACACAAAAAATGAGAAGCACTGCCAGTACTCCACTTTCTTGGTGGACTGGCCATCCATCCTGGACCTTTAATTCATCTCTTTCAAAGACCCTTAGCAAACTCCCCAGTTCTCCCCCAGCAACTGTTTCAAATTGTCTTGTTACCCAGCTGGTGTGGCTCAGCAGTTGAGCGTCGACCTATGAACCAGGAGCTAATGGTTCGATTCCTGTCAGGGCACATGCCCAGGTTGCAGGCTCAATCCTCAGTAGGGGGTGTGCAGGAGGCAGCTGATCAATGATTCTCTTTCATCATTGATGTTTCTACCTCTCTCTCCCTCTTCCTTCCTCGCTGAAATCAATAAAAATATATATTTTTAAAAACTGGTATTTTAGCATAATAATCTTAATTCTCAGATTTTAATAGCTCCATGGGTGAAGTACACTATACATATTGAACACAGAGAAAGCAGTTATTGCCCTCAAGAAATGTCCATTTCTAAACAAACAAAAAACTTATAGACAACCACAGGAGCACAATTACTAGTATTCATTAAACAGAGGCACTCAGAGAAGGGAGGAAGAAGGTCTCCCAGGGGTAATTAGAGAGTGGACTGGATTCTGAAGTCAGAGAAAGAGGGAAGTGGGAGAGCATGACAAGAGATTTTCAGGTAAGAAGCTCATAAAGACAAGAAGTGGTTTATTAATTTTGCAAAGAGATAATCTGACACCACGTTAAAGACAGTTTTTATTAACTAGTTAGAAAAAAATTGAGACTAAAGTTAGGAGTTAACAGGAAGTGCCCAGCCGGCATGGCTCAGTGGTTGAGCATCAACCTATGAACCGCTTGGTTCCTGGTCAGCGCACATGCCCAGGTTGCAGGCTCGATCCCCACTGTGAAGGGTGCAGGAGGCAGCAGATTAGTGATTCTCTCTCATCATCATCACTGATGTTTCTATCTCTCTCTCCCTCCTCTCTGAAATCAATAAAAATATATTTAAAAAAAAGTTATGCCCTAGCTGGTTTGGCTCAGTGGATAGAGCATCCGCCTGTGGACTGAAGGGTCCTGGGTTGAATTCCGGTCAAAGGCACATGCCTAGGTTGCAGGCTTGATCCCCAGTGGGGGGCATGCAGGAGGCAACCAGTCAATGATTCTCTCTCATCATTGATGTTTCTATCTCTCTCTCCCTCTCCCTTCTTCTCTGAAATCAATAAAAATATATTTTTAAAAAAAAGTTAACAGGAGTACAATGTCCACTTTGGGAACTTAGACACAAGAGAAGGTCTGAGCCAAGGAAGAAAAGGAAGTAAAACATCTGTGAGCACACCTCCAAAACCTTATGGAAGGAGTGGGCAGATCAGGATCATTGAATGTAGTCATTTTATCTTCATTTTTCATTGTCATTTTTAGTCTCACAACCATCCTGGGAAGAGTAGATATAATCTGGCCAGTTTACAGATAGGGAAGCCAAGGCTCACAAAGGATAAATGATTTGTCCATTATGACAGAGGCAGATCTACCCCACTGACTGCCTAGCCAATAGCCTATCTCCTTCCACCTTGACAAAGAAACCCCAATTTGATGGGTGCTCTTCAAGCCTGGGACTGGTTTTGGGGACCCTGGACACAAGCAATCAAGGTCTTCTCATTAAGCCTCTGTTGTGGGACTTTCTATAATTTGGAGCTGGATTTTCTGCAATTTGCAAATGATCCTATATAATAAAAGCCTAATATACAAATCGACCGAACAGCAGAACAACTGTCGCTATGAGGCGCACTGACCACCAGGGGGCAGATGCTCAATGCAGGAGCTGCCACCTGGTGGTCAGTGCGCTCCCACAGGGGAAGTGCCACTCAGCCAGAAGCTGGGCTCACGGCTGGCGAGCGGTAAGAAGCGAAGAGTCCCAGACTGCGAGAGCCCCGGACTGCGAAAGGGATTCTGACTGCCCACAGGCGGACATCCTTAGTGCTGTCGTGGAGGTGGGAGAGGCTCCTGCTACCACCGCTGCACTCACCAGCCATGAGCCCTACTCAGGGCTTTTGGCTGAGCAGCGCTCCCCCTGTGGGAGCGCACTGACCACCAGGGGGCAGCTCCTGCGTTGAGCGTCTGCCCCCTAGTGGTCAGTGCACATCATAGTGACATGTGGTTTCGCTGTTTGGTCAATATGCATACTAGCCTTTTATTATATAGGCTAGGATGGGATCCAAGCTCTTGACCATTTGCACTACCCTCCTTGTGGTAAATCTTTGTTTGTCATTAGAACTGAATTAGGGATTTTACTTCTTATGAAAGTAGACATGTATTTTCCTATGTACACACTAACTTTTAGAGTCCTCTTAGCTGCACTTTCCATATAGGAAAAAAGGAGGGTGGCCTAATTAACACAGTTCCACTGCAAATACTACTTTTAAATGAGAAGGAACAGGAGCTGGCCTTTCCTCCATGGGCATTGACTGGCCTTAGGGAAGGTTTTGAAAAAGCCAATGCTCATCTTTGGCCACCTCCCACTTATTTAAACTGTGTGAATAACTCAGATATTTAATACTCTCAGAGGTACCATTTTCCTTTTTTCTTGTTAATCCTCACCTGAGGATAATTTTTTCCATTGATTATTTTTTAGAGAGTGGGAGGGAAAGAGACACACAGAGAGAAACATCAATGTGAGAGAGATACATAGATTGGTTGCCTCCCACACATGTCCCAACCCAGGGCCTGGGATCGAGCCTGCAACCAAGGTACTTGCCCTTGACCAGAATCAAACCCAAGACCATTCAGTCTGTGGGCCAACACTCTAAGCACACCGGCTAGGCACTAATTTTCTTTTCATTTTAAAGAAAGAGTGCAGATAAAGCTCTAATTTGGTTGACTTTAACAAAACCACACAACCAATTTGTAAGTTACTTTGGGGCATGGGCCTTCAGGAAGATATAAGTTCTTCAGTTAGTTTCCTTATAAACTGTCCTCCTCTGAAACAGGTATCATAGGAGGTCCTAAGTTTATCAGGAGGGAGGAACAAGAATGGGAAGATTTGGTTTTGGGCAAGAAAATGGAATGTAGGCCTGGGTGTTCACTATTCATAACCAGTGAAGTGCCTAAATTTATAAATAGGTCATCATGAACCAGAAGTATTTAGGGTCCAATCTTTTTTTAAAAAATATTTGTACTGATTTCAGAGAGGAAGTGAGAGGGAGAGAGAGATGGAAACATCAATGATGAGAGAGAATCATCGATTGGCTGCCTCCTGCACGCCCACCCACCAGGGATCGAGCCCCAACCTGGGCATGTGCTCTGACTGGGAATCGAACCATGATGACTTCCTGGTTCGTAGGTCGACGTTTAACCACTGAGCCATGCCAGCCAAATGAGATATTTAATTTCAGTTTTCAAAACATAGATGGGCCCAGCTGGTGTAGCTCAGTGGTTGAGCATCGACTCCTGAACCAGGAGGTCATGGTTTGATTCCTGGTCAGGGCACATGTTGGATTGCAGGCTCAATCTTCAGTAGTGGGGTGTACAAGAGGCAGTGGATCAATGAGTCTCTCTCATCAATGTTTCTCTCTCTTGCTCCCTTCCTCTCTGAAGTCAATAAAAAACATATTTAAAAAATAACACACACAGCCGAAACCGGTTTGGCTCAGTGGATAGAGCGTCGGGCTGCGGACTGAAGGGTCCCGGGTTCGATTCCGGTCGGGGGCATGTACGTTGGTTGCGGGCACAACCCCAGTGGGGGATGTGCAGGAGGCAGCTGGTCGATGTTTCTCTCTCATCGATGTTTCTAGCTCTCTATCCCTCTCTCTTCCTCTCTGTAAAAAAATCAATAAAATATATTTAAAAAAAAAAAATAACACACACAAAAAAACATAGATGGGTATTTTTAAAGATAACATACCTTGCCCTGGCCAGTGTTTCTAAGTGGTTAGAGCGCCAGCCCAGGCACCCAAGTGTCACGGATTCGATTCCTGGTCAAGGGCATGTACCTGGGTTGCAGGTTTGATCCCCAGCCTTGGCTGGGGTGCCTGTGGGAGGCAACCTATCAATGTGTCTCTCTCACATCAATGTTTCTCTCTCAACTCCCCTCCCTTCTACTCTCTCTAAAAGAAAAAGCAAGGGATAAAAATATCCTTGGGTGAGGATTAAAAACAAAACAAAACAAAATAACAAAAAAAAATAAAGATAACATACCTCTTATGATCAATACATAGAAATAACAAACATCTGATGATCTCTCTTGTCTTTCTGAAGATTTGTGCATAAACTAGAACCTCTACAGTTAATAGTTACATAAATATTAGAGCTAAAAGAACTTGTATTTATTTGGAAACTTTAAATTCACAAGGTATATGGGCATGGAAAGTGGGGCGGGGGGTGGGGGAGATACTACCATCTAACCTTAGCTTCCCCAAACATCAGGAGAGTCTGGTGAGAAAAGAGATCACAGCATTAAACTACAAAGTAGACATCCATATTGAACACACCTTTATTTAAAAAGTATTCAAAAGAAAAAAAGTATTCAGAGGTCTTTAGTACTAAATACAAACATGAAGTTTCAATAAAGCCCTCACAAAGTTTTCAGAAGTCACTTTTTAAAAAGATATATTTTTATTGATTTCAGAGAGGGAGAGATAGAAATATCAATGAGAGTATCATTGATCAGCTGCCTCCTGTGTGTCCCCCACTGGGGATCCAGTGCGCAACCTGGGCATGTGCCCTTGACTGGTATCGAACCAGGCTGACGCTCTATCCACTGAGCCAAACCAGCTAGTGCCGGAAGCCACTTCTGACACTTTCTTTAAGATAAATGAAAATGGCCCAGCCAGTGTGGCTCACTGGTTAAGTGTTGACCTATGAACCATGAGGTCACAATGATTCTCATCATTGATGTTTCTATCTCTCTCTCTCCCTTCATCTCTGAAATAAAAAAATACATATTTTTAAAAAATGAAAATGGTTCTCTGTGTTCTAGGAAATCAGGTAAATCCCCATACCCTACTTTTCCTAACTTTTATCTATGCCAACTACCTAACATAACCTTTCTGCTCTTGTCAAATTCATCTTCTCACATCTCTCCAATACTCTAAGCTCTTCCTAATTTTCTACACAGGAAATTTATTCCCTCTTTAGTGATTTTATATACAGCACTTAGTTTTGTATCTCTTGTGCACTGTTTGGGGCCCTTGGACTGAGATTATGTACTGCCATGATTTCAGGTTAAGTCTGTTTTCCCTGCCCCTCCACTTTGAAGTAAAATTTTTGAATGTTAGAGCCTTTCTTATTCAAATATGTGTTTCTCCACTCTCAGGCTCCAGCCTCCCCTAGTGCTCTTGCCATTTAGATTCTTTTTAAATGCTTGCTAAATTTAATACCTACCTTTGCTGCAGTTCTCTCCTACTGCTGTCTGCTTTAGGGTCTTCCTTCTCAAAGACGTTTTCTTTGACTAAGCCCGCTAAAGTCTAAAATCAGAATTACTAGAGCATGTGTTTATCTTTCAAGCCTACTTTTACCCTCCTCCCCATCTAGACAGTAAACTCGAAAAGAGCACAGGCTTTGAAATTATATCTAGGTCCAAATTCCGCTGTTACATTTACTATGACTATACCTTAGGGTGAGAAATCTAGGCTTGTCTCCCAACTCACGGGGGTTTTTAACAGATGAAAGGAGATAGCGTTCATAAAACACCTAGTACTGAAACTTGAACGTCACAGACAAAAATTGGCAGCTACTTTCCTGCTTTAAGGGAAAAGGTCCCATTGCACCTAAAAAGGAGACCAGCCTGACCAAGGCGTTCAGTAACTCTTCCTCAACTAACTCCCGAAAATACATTCTGCCCTAAGGACAAAAAGTCACTTTTTCAACCTACTCAAGCTCTCCAACCGCCTCGCCTTGAGGGGGGGAGGCTGAGGAAGTGGAAGTTGACGAGCTGAACAAAAAAGATTCCTTGTCAAACCTGAAGACCTCAGGCCACACCGCCTTTCTGCGGCTCTGCCCCTCATGTTTACACTTTGTCCAGTGACTGTCACGAGCCACTTCAGGTTCGGGACTGGACTGCGGGATGAAGCCCCGGCTTTGCCCAGGTCCTCACCAAGCTCTCCCGTCCCGAGAGGACCGATCACCAGACACACCTTCCTCCCCCACCCCGACAGGGGCGACTCACCGCCCAGGTCTTTGGCCTGGTGAAGGAGCTCGCTCTCAGCCGACCCCGCCACAGCCTCGGGGCGCGGCTCCGGCGGGGCTTCTCCCTCTGGCTGCCCGTCTCCTTCGACCGGGCGGCCGTCCACCACCGGCTGCTGCAAGCCGAGCCAACTGCTCAAACCGCGGAACATCCCGCCCGCGGGGCCGCCGCCGCGATCCCGGCCACCGGACACCTGCCGGCCGCTGCCCACTTCTGACGGCACAACGCGCGTCGCCCAGGGAGATGGCCGGAAGTGGGACCCCCGCGGCAGTCCGTCTAGCCTCCTCTCCGCCTCTATGACAACTCGGACGCCGGCCGTGCGTGCGTCACTTCCGGCCAAAGGCCCCGCCCCTCCGGTTGTTTATTTTGTTAACGAGTCTGCGCGCGTGGAAAGCGGACAAAGGGCTTTTCCCACGAAGCTTGGCCGCGCCCCTTTCCCTGCATCGCCAGCTTTGTAGTGATTGACCCAGGCGTGTAAACGGCGTCTTTGTCACTCTAAGCACCTTGGGTGGTGGCTTAGCTTCGCCTTTTCAGGTTCAGCTGGGCCAGCCCGTGGAGATGGATACCTTTAGCCTCCTCCTGAGACTGAATCAAAACTAGCTCCTCCCCTTCTCACTCCCCCTCCAGAAAATAAAACAAAAAACTAGCCCAGGGCCTCTAGGTCCAACTACCAATTTACAGGGAATACAGAGGCTGGAAGAAAGTGTTAAAGGATACCATGGGATGCAGGCAACATAGAATCTAGGCTGTGAGAAACCACAGGACAAAGACATTGTTTATTCAAATAAATTGCAAGGCAGGGGAGAAGGGGAATTTATAGATTAAAAGCAATTTAGGAGACATAATGCATGGCAATTTGTGGATTTTATTTGGATCCTGATTGAAATAACCCCAGTGGGGTGGAAAAGTTTGACTTCATAAGAATTGGAAATTTGGTCATTGGATATAGATCATGAAATCATGGAACTGTTAAATTTAAAAAAATTGTCTTTGTGGTAGAATACACAAACTTTACCATCTTAACTTTTAAGTGTACAGTACAGAAGTGTTAAGTACATTCACATTGTTATGCAACCAATCTCCAGAACTCTTCCTATTGCAAATCAAATTGTGTATCCATTAAACAACTCTCCATTCTCCCCTCCCCCCAGCCCTTGGCAACCAAACTACTTTCTGAATGAGTTTGATTACTTCAGGAACCTCATATAATAGAATCACACCATATTTGTCTTTCTGTGACTGGCTTATTTCACTTAGCAAATGTCCTCGGGTTCATTCATTTTGTAGAATATGTCAGAATTTTTTTTTAAATTCCGCCTTATGCCAAACCGGTTTGGCTCAGTGGATAGAGCGTCGGCCTGCGGACTGAAGGGTCCCAGGTTCAGTTCCGGTCAAGGGCATGTACCTTGGTTGCGGGCACATCCCCAGTGGGGGGTGTGCAGGAGGCAGCTGGTCGATGTTTCTAGCTCTCTGTCCCTCTCTCTTCCTCTCTGTGGAAAATCAATAAAATATATTTTTAAAAAAAATTCCGCCTTAAGAAAGGCTACCTTTATTATTTTTTAAATATGTTTTGATTGATTTTAGAGAGAGGGAGTGATAGAAACATCCATGAGAAACATCGATATCTATCAGCTGCCTCCTGCACACCCCCTACTTGGGATCAAGCCAGTAACCCTGGCATGTGCCCTGGCCTGAATCGAACAGGCGCCTTCTTGGGGCATGGGTTGATGCTCAACCACTGAGCCACACTGGCCAGGCAAGAAAGGCTCCTTTAAAAAGGCTGAATAACATTCCATTGTATGTAATACCACATTTTGTTAATCCATTCATCTGTCCATAGACATAGGAATTGTTAAATTTTAAACTGTGGTAAGTGTGTGTGTGTTTTAATGTGTTCTTATCTTTTAGTCATACTGAAATATTTACCAATGAAATGATAAGATGCCAGCCATCTTGAGTAGGGATGTAGATGAAGCAAACCTGGCCATAGGTTGATAACTGTTAAAGTTGGGTGGTTATACTATTATGTCTGTTTTCCTATATACAGTATTTTACTTTTCCCATAATAACATGCAAGCAAACGAATAAAAAAAAAAACTGCCCAAGTGAACAACTACCCCTTGAGAACAGGGAGTTCATGAACATATTTCCCAAGCACAGACTCAAGCAATCTGTTGGCAAAGTACACCCATTATTCCTCCTCCTTCCAACATTTTCAGAACAGTCCCTTAGTTCCAGTGAATATATAGGGGATGGATTACACCTGATTTTTCCTGTTCTCCAGTTTTCCAGCCTGAGGTATATTTACAATTCAGGTCCAGAACTTCAGTTTAACAAGTCCAACCCATTATTGTTTTTTCCCCAAAAAACAGCTTTATTCACATACCATTCAACTCACCAGTTTAAAGTGTACAATTCAATGGTTTTTGGCATATTACACTATCAATTTTTTAAATTACAGTAAATTATATATAACATAAAATTTGTCATTTTAACCATTTTTTTAAGTGTACAATTCAGTGGCATCAATGACATTCCAATCTGTTTTTAGAGTCTGGGTATTGACTCAATTTTGAAAGTCAGGAGACATCTGAGGACCAATGCCTTTCTAGGATTTATTAAGTCAGTGAGAACCTGAAAGTCAACACTTTCCAGAAAAATGATATTTGGTTCAAGTGTGATTGGAGTGAGCCTGGAATTTCAGTCAGAAGGGGGTTCTAACTCCACTTTCTAATAGGTGAATACCTTTGCCTTGGCCGGTGTTGCTCAGTTGGTTGGAGTGTCCTGTACACCAAAAAGTGGCGGGTTCGATTCCTGGTCAGGGCACATACCGAGTTCAGAAAGCAACCAAGCATGATGTTTCTCTTTCCCTTCCTCTCTCTAAAATCAATTAATATATACTATATATATATATATATATATAATGGGTGAATACCTTTGACTTCCTTTGACTTCTTACTCTTCAAGTTTCTTCACCTCCAATAGGAATATAGTACTGACTCAACAAATAGCAGAGGTGGGGCCCAGCCCATTCAGCCGTACTTTTGCTTTATCTCCAGGAGCACTCAAAACAATGGTGAATGCTGTAATCCCCAGGGGACAGACAGTTTTACAATTGTTCTGAAAGGTGGACTTCTTCAAAATAAAAGATTAAAAAAAACACACAAATCAACTTAATGATGGGCTTTTTTTCCATTTCTTTTTTATCCTCAACTCTATGCTGGTAGTAGGCTGTGAAAGAACACTTGTTGAATGAAGACACACCCTTATCCCACACAAATTAATCAATATCAACCCTGTTATCAGATTTGTTTTCCTGCTCACTTTTTTTTCCATTTTGGATTAATATTACAAAAGTTATCATAAGAACCCCTGTGTATTCACAAAATATCTTTCCTCCATTAGCCTCATAGATTTATAGAATAAGAAAAAGATGAGGCTCTACACTCTGAGGTAAAGAGTCTGACTTTGGAAACGGATGTTTTCTTTTGATATCAAAGGAAAGCAGAGTTTGCCACCCCAAAATATGCCTTTTGGGGTATCGATTATTTTAAGCTGGTTATTTTCTTTTTTAATTAAATTGATTTAGTTGTTTTTTATCCTCACCTGAGAATATTTTTCCATTGCTTTTTAGAGAGTTAGAGAGAGGGAAAGACAGAGAGAAATATCGATGTGAGAGAAACACATCGATTGGTTGTCTCCTGCACGAGCCCTGACCAGGACCCGGGCCGGGGAGGACCCTGTAACTGAGGTACATGTCCTTGACCAGAATTGAACCTGGCATCCTTTGGTCCACAGGCTGACGCTAGGGCTAAGCTGGCTATTTTCAAGAAACAAAAGACTCAGGAAGGACCTTTGACCTTCCCCCCTAACTGCCTAAAAGAATTTAGATAGGGGACCTCCTCCAGGAAGGGAGAAATAATCAGATGACTAGTTTAATATAAACCAGTGTGTGATAGACAGGGAGGAACCTAGCATGGCTTCTTTGATCAAAGTCCTCTCGGTATCATATTGTTAAAGATGGCCCAGCAAACATGTAGTTACCAAACATTTGCTTTTCCGTCTCTACGTGACTTGCCTTCCTTGCCTTTGGAGTCCCCCAAACACCACCCCACCTTAGCTCAAGATGGCATATAAGCCTTAACTGCCCGATTTGTCCTCAAGTTTCATATTCTCTCTCTCTCTCTTTTTGGCAGTATTAAAAATATACATATTTTTATTGACTTCAGAGAGGGAGAGGGAGAGATAGAAACATCAACGAGGAGAAATAATCATTGATTGGCTGCCTCCTGCACGCCCCCTACTGGGGATGGAACCTGAACCCAGGCATGCATCCTGACCAGGAATTGAACCTTGACCTCCTGGTTCATAGGTCGATGTTCAACCACTGAGCCACACAGGCTGGGCACCTTTTATATCCTTATGAAACCTCTGCATGCACATAAGTAATAAATTTGATCATTTTCTCCTGTTAATCTATCTTGTGTTAATTTGATTAGTCCAGCCAGAAGAACTTAAAAGGGTAGGAGGAAAAATTATTTTTCCTCCCCACAGTGTCCTGGTTTTGTTATTTATATTAACTAATGTACAGTACCTTTGGTCAGGGCACTCCACATCTTTAAGCCTCAGGTCCTTTATTACAAAAAAAAGACCATAATTACTGTTCTGGTTGTAAAAAGGAAATGAAGTACTGAAGTGTGGAAGGAAACTGTTGTAATGTACCCCGCGAATCATAGAAGGACACCTCAAGAAGTCGAATTAAAGAGTCACATTTATTGCAATCCGGGACTATGAGGGTCCATTCCCCAAATCTCATAGTAACAAGATGGTCGCAGCTCCAGGGTTATATAGGCAAAAAATCACAAAGGTATTGATTACATCTCAAGGTTTGGAATGAGGAACCTGGTTTGCAAAAAAAGCAGTTTACAGAAGCAGAAGCAGCATGTTACTTATAGTTTTGGGTCTCGGGATCACTGAATTGACAGAAACACATTATCTAGAGCCCTTGGGTCTGGAATGAGGAACCTGGGTTAAACTTAGGCATGTTATCTAAATTACAGTTTGGGGTCTCTGGAACACTGAGTCAACAAGGATACATTAACTGGAGCCCTCTGACCTTGGGATAACTGTGCTGTCCTTCCCAGGTAAAGGAAAATGTGCTTTCTAAGACCAGTATGACCACAACCCATGGGATATTCACATTACAATCAATAAGGCATTTAATCAAATGGGATGATTTATATAATTCAGAAAATCAAAATAACCTGTCCATTGTTAAACAAAGCAAATAGGTACCATACTTCAAAAACT